CACCATCCAGCGACAATTAAATCATGCCTCATGAGCAACAAATTCATCCATAAACCACTCTCGACATTTTCCAAATGTATTACGTTATTCTGCTTTATTCTAAATCTCCATCTACTTAAACACCTTAACTGCCTTCGTTCTTAGGTACACATACCTGTTCCCTGTAACTTGAGCCACAGGAGTTGCATTGCATCAACTATTCCACTCAACAAAATTCAATTTCCTGCACAAGCTGTTAACTTCTTTAACTAACTTTATTCCAATCATAAATATCAGATATTGTACGAGTTAATATAAATAATTATATTCCATAATGTGGTGGTGGTGGTGGGCGGTTTGAGTTGGCTGTAAACTAGAAATATAATCTGACATGAACCACCAATTTCCTCTCAATGTAAATGGGTTAATAAGTTAGTAACATATACATTGCATCAACGTATTGTGGACCTTGCAGCCACCTGCTTCCTGGTCTTTTAATATTTTTGTTAAGTGTCGTATGATAACCATATATACATGTTAAGTAACTTTAATGCCACAATTCTTCATTCATCTGCATCTGTACTAATAAACACTGGTACCAAACTGTGGGGTCTTATAACTTCCTCTTTAAGAAATCTTTAAATTAAGGACCTCTATTCTCTAAGATTTGTGTTAAACCTTTTTTTGCAAAAACTGGCAAGCTTTTTCCATTGCATTAAACCACAAATCAATTACATTTGCCTCAACAAATTGATGAAATGTAGAAATCTGTGGTGTTTACTTTGATTATTCCCTTTGTCTGTCCCCAGTATTAAAGTGGGAGAATCTTGTGATTAATCAGTTAAAAAGAAAGAGATAGGTGTTTTGAAGTACGGATTGCACTTTGTTTTATGTAGTTCAACTATTGAAATTACCAAAACAACATGAATGAATAGGTATGGAGGTGAGCTGGGTGTTTAGGTTATTTCAAATTTAGACTACATAAAAAAGTACCGTTCATATTAAAAAATACATTTCTATAAAAGAAAACATAAATTTAATAAAAAATGTGAAAATCAAAACATTGTGGCATTAATGTTACTCATGTTATGTTGTAGTTATGGTTGGAAGTCGTTCTAAATTTTTGCATTCTTAAATTTAAATATAAATATAAGTTATTTTATCTATTATTAATTAGTTTTAGGTTTGACTCTTATATGGTAGGTAAAAACTAGTGTTAAGCTCCTATACTTTCTCCATTTTCTCACATAAGCTCTCAAAGAAAAAAAAGTGGTACATAAGCCCAGCCTCTATTTAAGCAAATTAACCCTTATGTTAATGGCAAAGTCACATGTGATCATGTAAGTTAAATAGTCCCTTTTTTTTAATCTTGCGTGACAGTTCCTTTACATATAGATGCTAATGTGGCATGAGACTTAGGCATTTAAGTTTAAAAGAATTATCCCTTTAACATCTAAATATAAAGAAATTGTCTCACAAGCAAAAAAAAAATGATTGTTTAACTTACTTAACTGCACGTGAATTTGCTGTTAACATAAGGGCTAATTTGCCAAAGTCCAGGCATTTAGGGGCTTGTATGCCCCTTTTTTTCTTTGAGGGCTTATATGAAGAAATAGGAAAAGTTTAGGAGCTTAACATTGAGTTTTACCTATATAGTATTAGAGGCGACTTGCTTTCCAAACACCGACGATTGGTTATGTTGAATTATATTAGGAAGCTTTTTTAAAAAAATAATGATAATCCCAAGAAAAAATATTGAAAGAATAATTGAAGCAAAGGAGATCGATCATGAATGTGTCCAATGGTACCGAGGCCTGAGTTCGGTTGGCCCATGAAATGGATCTGCTAATGGCGTTTGAATGCTCTTTGCTGCCCTCTAAAAAGTAGCACAATAATAGTCAAAGCAAAACAGCTGAATTATGGTTTCCATATTTGGAGCTACTAAATGCTGTAGAATCCATTTCGATGAAGGGAAGAGTTTGAGAATTTAATTCAATTTTCACGATTTGTAGCTTATGAAATTATTGTGATTGTAACCAAGCCAAAGTTTATCTCTATTTTTTGTGGTTAAAATGTAAAACGGTTCATTATGTCAATAACCTAAATAATTAAATAGCAATTTCTTTTTAACAAAAATAAAGTTGTAAATTCTAGTCACATTATACACAAATGTAAAGAATTAAGAGATGAAAAGCAATTACATCTTATTATGCAACTTTAAATGAAAGAATAAAAGAAATCAACTCATTTAGCTTTCTATATTGATATATATAATATAATTTAAAGCATTAATAAATGCACACACCATGTTGATGTCTATTACCTTTCTATATTTATATATGTAATTTAAAGTGTTGATAAATGTCACACACGATGTTATCACTACGGTACTACACGCACCAACATTATGATATTTAGTTGAATGTGTAATTGTGTATTACCATCCCTTCTTTAAATATTGGTGGGCTAGCTTGTTGCTCGTCTAAATGAAGTGGCCAATATCTAACATCTAATAGTTAAGAAAAAATATATGTGGTTAAATATAAGGTGGGACATTCCATCTTTAATTTTAGATTAAATGTTAATGTTAAAATGTTTAGATTTGTTAATTATTTTTTGTAGGGTTTGTCTAACATATGTATTAAGTGCATAAATTAAGAGTACAATAAATATATTTTTTAAATATTAAATTACATGAAAAATAAAAAAAACTAGCATTAATTTTAATACTAATGTCATGTAAATGTTTTTAATTTAATAATTGATAAAATTAATGTTAGTTTTTATTTTTCCTAGGTGTATTAATATAAAATGATATAATAAATGCACTTTTAACTTATAATCTAATAGTCAAGGTTAGAAAAATCTTCTTTTACAAAAATCCA